GGGCAATGTCCACAAGGGGGTGAGCTGTGAGCTGACTTGGGTCCCGCCATCTTCACCTACGGTATAAAATTTCCACCCTCGGGAAAGCACGGCCCCCAGCAGAGATGTAGCAGAACTGTTGTGCAACCAGATGATGAATCAGCAGTTCAGTCTTTACCTGCTCTTCACCTTTTTAGGGAGGGGAGCTACCAGGCACCAAGGGAAAGAACAGAAAATCCAACACTCTTAGAGGCTCAGATTATTGGAGCACAGATTTTCCTCTTGTCAGCCATGGTTACCAGAGGTCAATGATCATGTCATCCAACCCAGACATGAGGTTTTTAGAGCTGAAAACTGGAAAACAAGGGAGAGCTACATCCTGTTGGGTCACATCCTGTTCACGAAGGCAGGAAGTGGAACAGCAGACCAAGATGGTTAGAAAAACATGACGCTTATGAAGCATTTGCACGCTACGTGTGGATGTACATTTTGGTATACAATTTTTTAAGACTCTAAACAAGGCTCATATATCATGCATTTTGGAAGTCCTCAAGTTTCTTGTGAAATAAAACTGGCCCAAAGCCAACTCTTTATTATATGATTGTGCTCCATCGGCAATCATACCAATCCAAGAAATAAAAAAAAAAAAAACCTATTTGCCATCTGAAAACTGGTTGTAGGGCACTGTTTCCTCCAGGAATAGGAATGCAATGCTGGGAACTTCTCAGTGGCCATCTTAGGGAGTATGAGATTGTGGATCTTGCCCAGAAATAGGAGCTTTGTTGCCTCTCTCAAAGGGAAGGATGGATTGTTCCAGGGTGGGCAGTCTACAGTGCCTCTCCCAGGAGGCACCAGGTTCATGGCACACAGCATCCCTGCTCAAAGCACAGCATGGCTTTTCTTCATGCAGTTGCCTCCACTGACAAAAGGGCTTCTTGGACTCAGGAATGCAGAAGTTCTGTGTGTTCCTTTCTCTTTACCTTCATGGCCCTCACTCACCTTCTCTTTGTTCTCTCTCCTTCTCTTTCATGTGTTTCACGAGGGGGGAGATTTCATTTGTTTCACTGAGGGATGATGACCGCTCAATAATTCCATGTTGCTTTGCATGAGGGTGGGAGAAAGCCACTGCCATTTCTTGGGTTTGATGTCAATGGTTAGCATCCCTCAGGAAGCGATTCGAGAGGCCCACTCCAGCTCTGGACTATCTAGTCACTCAGGACTGCAGTGCCTTTAAGGTAAAGCAAACATTCAGTGTGGTGGTGCTCAAACTGCTGGTCCCCAGAATCTGCCTTTAAGATTTAAAAACTCTGTGCTTTGGAACTAGTTCTCAGTGGTTTTCTTTCTTCTTGATTTTCCTTTAGTCTATGGTAAGTAATTGTGCTAGGAGGAATGCACCACAGTTACTAAAATTAGCTCTTGGAACTAGCCATGTGTCTTGGAACTTGATGGGAGGGAGCTTTCCAGGTAGGTAGGCCTGCTAAAGGCTTCACTGATCATCCAGTGGTTTCTAATTTTAGTGTTTAGAGAAAGAGGAAAGAAAGAAAGAGAGAAAGAAAGAAAGAAAGAAAGAAAGAAAGAAAGAAAGAAGAAAGAAAGAAGAGAAAGAAAGAAAGAAAGAAAGAAAGAAAGAAAGAAAGAAAGAATCGTGTTAAGATCTATGGAGGCATAGTGTAGTTTTTATTCTGAAGGTTTTAAATAATGGAAATCTAACAGAAATATCCCATGTAATTTTATCCTAAAATAAAATTGTTTTTATTTGTCCATATGCTCTTCTAGTTCTTGTGATAGAATCTATTTATAATATCCTCAATATTTTATACTTTCATGCATGTATATTCATGCATAAGCGATTTTTTAACAAAATGACAATCAGATCCATTTTTTGTTGCTTATGGACAGAGCAGCTGAATGACCACAGTAAGTTGGGGATTTCCTTTCTGGCTTTGCCCCTGGGCCTCCAACATTTCAGTATTTCAGTTCAATCCGTGAAAAGCGGGAGCTTATGACTAGTTACCTTACAAATCCACTGAATGGAAAAATAGCTGGTGCATGACTTCAGAATGACCAACATGGAAAGATGTGGTTCTCAAATGCTGTGATACTTCTGGGACCTCAATATCTGTGCAGGTCACCAGGCAAATTCCCCTTTCTGTCCTCGTCCTTCTACTGCTTATCTTTTCTTTTTTCTGCTCACTGTTCCGAATTGTTCCTTCCTCAAAATTCTGTGTACGTGTAAGAGTGAGGATCCTACTTGCTCATCCCCATGGTGCCTGATGTGTGACCGGCAATGTGCTAATGGTCTTTCCTCCCACCTCATTTACTCCTGCTCTTTTTTTTTTAATTTTATAAATTAATTTTTATTGGTGTTCAATTTACCAACATACAGAATAACACCCAGTGCTCATCCCATCAAGTGTCCCCCTCAGTGCCCGTCACCCATTCACCCCCACCCCCCGCCCTCCTCCCCCTCCACCACCCCTAGTTCATTTCCCAGAGTTAGAAGTCTTTATGTTCTGTCTCCCTTTCTGATATTTCTCACACATTTCTTCTCCCTTCCCTTATATTCCCTTTCACTATTATTCATATTCCCCAAATGAATGAGAACATACACTGTTTGTCCTTCTCCGGTTACTGTGGCCAAGTTCAAAAAGGGTGTTGCCTGAGTTCTCCTCTAGGATTTTGATGGAATCTTGTCTCACATTTAGATCTTTCATCCATTTTGAGTTTATCTTTGTGTATGGTGCAAGAGAGTGGTCCAGTTTCATTCTTCTGCATGTGGATGTCCAATTTTCCCAGCACCATTTATTGAAGAGACTGTCTTTCTTCCAGTAGATCGTCTTTCTTGATGAGGGAGGCGCTGTTACCCAGTAGCCCCACTTTGTAGATAGGAAACTGTGCTAGTGATGAAGTATCTTGCTCCAGATCCATTTGTAAGGCATGGCACTACTGTTCCCACACAGATCTTTGCAATTACATCTTTCTTTTTTAAAAAAAGATTTTAATTATTTGTTTGAGAGAAAGAGAAGAGAGCGCACACAGCCGGGGGGCGGGGTGCAGAAGAAGAAGCAGGTTCCCCGCTGAGCAGGGAGCCTGATGTGGGGCTTGATCCCAGGACCCTGAGATCATGTATGAACTGAACCAAAGTCCGATGCTTAATCAACTGAGCTACCCAGGCACCCCTCTTTGCAATTACATCTTTCTAATTACAGATCAAACTCTTCCCTAGCACTACCTTTCAATGCAGAGCCTAGTATAGAAATGGTAGAAAAAGAAAGTGTGTTTTAGAGTCAGCTGCTTATTCTTCCATTGATGGATTGCATTCTATTTCCTTTCATTTTTGCAGTTAGAATTTACTGTTACTGCCTTCTATAAGCTGGAGACATTCATTAACAGACATAATTGTTTAGAGAATATGGTTTTATGTCATAGGAAAAAGTATTACAGAAATGTAAACTGCAAGAAAAGGAAAACAGAATGTTTCCAGGAGCCTCCGTGCCTTTTCTTCTTCTTCTTCTTTTGTAAACTATTTGATTGGCTCCATTTAGAATCTAATGTTAACTGCCTGGAGGATAAAAATAACTTCTTTTGTAGTTTTACCTCATATAGCACCAACATATTGTGACTTTTCATGGAAAGATCCATTTTTAGAAAGAATGTAAGGCACCCCAGGCACATGAGTAATAACTATTTGGCAAGATGTTGCTTATGCCAGATAATCAGTCTAGAGTCCTTCTTTGGCAGGCTTACAAATTGTTTTTTTTTACACAATTTGTACGTGTTATTTTGTGATATGTTGAAACCTCATTTAATAAAAAAAAAAAAACCCAAAGGATATATGTATAGGGCCTTGGGAATTACTTTTACTTCCTGTATAATGACTCACAACCTAAACGTACAAAGTTGGGTAGAGGAAGTATTTCTCTCTATCATTGTCTCACAAAAATATAAACTGTAAATCAGGAACAGAAACTGCAGACCTCTGCATGCTCCTCCACCCTCTGTTAGGCAGAGGTGGTGTCTGTGGATAAAACATGAAGTCAAAATGAAGGATGGGCCATGAATGGGATGATCCTGGGAAGAGAAGGGAAACATTTTCTCTCCTGTGTTTAAATTCATGACATTCACCTTTTATTTTTGGTGTGATTCTCCCCAGTTTCAGAAGTCTCATCATCTAATTCAAACACAGCCAGAACCAATTCCCTACTCTGTTTGATGTATACAAATGGCTAACCAAAACACAGGAAAATGACTAGAATGTGGAATTCCAAGCTTTGAGAGTCATGGTTTTCTAGAATTACACAGAGGAATACCAGGGAAATTACAGAGATGATTCCCGAGTCAGGTGAGTGGTCTCCTTCACCTCTGAGATGATATCATTCCGTGACTTTTTACTCTGCCAGGTCTGATGAGTTCTTCTGGGAGACATTTTTTCAGCCATCTAGAATCTCAGAGATGTTTGACCAAAATAATCTTTTGAACGAGAGCTAGTGACAGACACACTCCATTCTGGGGAAGCAGTGCTGATGGTGGTTGGGAAGAATTAGGTGACCTCTAAAGGAAAAACAAATTTAAAGATATAACCATTATTATTTCCACTGGTGAAATCACCATCATCTTGACATAAAAGGTACATTTCATCTAAAACCTATCATTTGTGAATAGAGCCATGGTTTTTCTGCTACTAGATTTGGGCAAGTCGTTCCAGGCTTGGATTTCACTGTGTGTGTGTGTTTATTGTCCAAACTGGTAGGTATAGTTTGGTTTGGATTTCATGTAGCTGTATTATTTGGAGTGATGATTTCATCGAGCATTCAATTAAGTTGAAATTTATAGGTTTAGAATGATCATAAATGTGATTTGATTTGAGTTCTGTCTTGTGAAAGTTTTAAAAACCTTTTAAACCACTCACAGAACTTGCCAAGTATGAAAGATTTGCAAAGTGTGGCCAAACAGGCTGCTGAAGTTTATCCAGGGTATCCAAGATCTCAGAACTCACATCCCGGATGGCACTGGATCTGGAAGTCTTAGAACAAGCTCAGTATAGTGACTCCACAATTAATTTCTCCTCTATGTTAATGGAAGTAAGATTTAATACGATGAGAAATTTAAATTTTCCAGATGATTTTCTCTGTCGTTGAAATGCTGTCATCTTGGCTCTAAGCAATCATTGCTATTAATTGGGAAGAGAGATGGTACATAAACGGATGCAACTGAACCTGGGACTGATTACTCTGCGTTCTTTGTTCTGACCCAATGACTGAGCCCTTCCCAAGCGGAATAATTGCAAAGCAGCAAATATCTAGAAGGAGAAGGAATCGAAGTCATAAAAATAAATTACAGAATGATGAAGGTGGGTAGCCAGCTTTTGTTTAAATAGATTCTCATAGTAAAAGGAATGATTTCTGTTTGGGGAAAATTAAAGCTGATGAAATAGGAATAAATTTGTATCTACAAACTCAAGTGTGTAAGACAGTCCAGTTTTCTAGAATAGCTTTATCGAGGTATAACTTACATACTGTACAGCTCATCCACTGCAACTGCTTAGTTTGAGGATTTTCAGTAAATTTATGTAGACTTGCTCCCACTGTTACAATTGTTACAGGTTACAATTCAGCCTTTGGGCCCTTCTGTCATCCCCCTAAATTCCTTTCTGCTTGTTTCTAGTCAGTCCAGACTCCTACCCTCAGCCCCGCCAGCAACCGCTGAACTCCTTCCTGTCCCCATAATTTTGTCTTTTCTAGGAATTTCACGTAAATAGAATCAGGCAATATGGAGGCTTCGTCTGGTGTCTTTCACTTACATGATGTTTCGAGTCTCATCTGTGTTGTTGTACCTGTTGGTAGTTGTTCTTTCCTACTGCCCAGCAGCAGCACACTAGTGTATGGATAGAGCACAGCAGGTTTCTTCATTCACTATTTGATGAACATTTAGGTGGTTTCCAGTTTGGGGTTATCATCAGTAATGTTACCAGCCCTTACCTACAAGTTTTTGTGTGGACGTACGATTTCTTTTTTTTTTTTTTTTTTTTTTTGGGTTTTATTTATTTATTTATTTTTTATTTTTTATAAATTAATTTTTATTGGTGTTCAATTTACCAACATACAGAATAACACCCAGTGCTCATCCCGTCAAGTGTCCCCCCTCAGTGCCCGTCACCCACTCACCCCCACCCCCCATCCTCCTCCCCCTCCACCACCCCTAGTTCATTTCCCAGAGTTAGAAGTCTTTATGTTCTGTCTCCCTTTCTGATATTTCTCACACATTTCTTCTCCCTTCCCTTATATTCCCTTTCACTATTATTCATATTCCCCAAATGAATGAGAACATACACTGTTTGTCCTTCTCCGGTTACTGTGGCCAAGTTCAAAAAGGGTGTTGTCTGAGTTCTCCTCTAGGATTTTGATGGAATCTTGTCTCACATTTAGATCTTTCATCCATTTTGAGTTTATCTTTGTGTATGGTGCAAGAGAGTGGTCCAGTTTCATTCTTCTGCATGTGGATGTCCAATTTTCCCAGCACCATTTATTGAAGAGACTGTCTTTCTTCCAGTGGATCGTCTTTCCTCCTTTATCGTATATTAGTTGAGCATAAAGTTCAGGGTCTACTTCTGGGTTCTCTGTTCTGTTCCATTGATCTATGTGTCTGTTTTTGTGCCAGTACCACACTGTCTTGATGAACACAGCTTTGTAGTACAACCTGAAATCTGGCATTGTGATGCCCCCAGATATGGTTTTCTTTTTTAAAATTCCCCTGGCTGTTTGGGGTCTTTTCTGATTCCACACAAATCTTAAAATAATTTGTTCTAAGTCTCTGAAGAAAGTCCATGGTATTTTGATAGGGATTGCATTATACGTGTAAATTGCCCTGGGTAACATTGACATTTTCACAATATTAATTCTGCCAATCCATGAGCATGGAATATTTTTCCATCTCTTTGTGTCTTCCTCAATTTCTTTCAGAAGTGTTCTGTAGTTTTTAGGGTATATTTTGAGAACCATTTGAATGGTAAATGGTTCTCCAACCTTTTATTTTCAGGTTGTAGGTGTCCTTCTGTCTAAAATGAGTCTCTTGTAGACAGCAAATAGATGGGTCCTGTTTTTTTATCCAGTCTGAAACTCTGCGCCTTTTGATGGGGTCATTAAGCCCATTCACGTTCAGAGTTACTTGAACTTCTTCTTAAAGGGGAGTTTTAAGAGTCCCCCTTAAAATTTCTTGCAGAGCTGGTTTGGAGGTCACATATTCTTTCAGTTCCTGCCTGTCTTGGAAGCTCTTTATCTCTCCTTCCATTTTGAATGAGAGCCTTGCTGGATAAAGTATTCTTGGTTGCATGTTCTTCTCATTTAGGACCCTGAATATATCCTGCCAGCCCTTTCTGGCCTGCCAGGTCTCTGTGGAGAGGTCTGCTGTTACCCTAATATTCCTCCCCATGAAAGTCAGGGACTTCTTGTCTCTTGCTGCTTTAAGGATCTTCTCTTTATCTTTGGAATTTGCAAGCTTCACTATTAGATGTCGAGGTGTTGAACGGTTTTTATTGATTTTAGGGGGGGATCTCTCTATTTCCTGGATCTGAATGCCTGTTTCCCTTCCCAGATTGGGAAAGTTTTCAGCTAGGATTTGTTCAAATACATATTCTGGCCCTCTGTCCCTTTCGGCGCCCTCGGGAACCCCAATTAAACGTAGGTTTTTCTTCCTCAGGCTGTCGTTTATTTGCCTTAATCTGTCTTCATGGTCCTTCAATTGTTTATCTCTTTTTTCCTCAGTTTCCCTCTTTGCCATTAACTTGTCTTCTATGTCACTCACTCGTTCTTCCACCTCGTTAACCCTCGTCGTTAGGACTTCTAGTTTGGATTGCATCTCATTCAATTGATTTTTAATTTCTGCCTGATTGGATCTAAATTCTGCAGTCATGAAGTCTCGTGAGGCCTTAATGCTTTTTTCTAGAGCCACCAGTAGCTGTAGAATAGTGCTTCTGAATTGGCTTTCTGACATTGAAGTGTAATCCAGATTTTGTAACTCTGTGGGAGAGAGGGCTGTTTCTGATTCTTTCTTTTGAGGTGAGGTTTTCCTTCTAGTCATTTTGCTCAGTGCAGAGTGGCCAAAAACAAGTTGTATTGGAACACGGGGGAGTATCACTGGTCCGTCCAGCTGGTCTTCTGGGGGAGGGGCCTGCTGCGCTGATTTTCAGGTGTTAGCACTTGGGGGAGCTGCTCTGCCCCTGCCTGCTGCCGGGCTCAGCGGGGGTTGTTTACCCCGTAGGCCCCAGGAGGAACAGCAGCAGTTGCTATGGCAACTCTGGAAGCCTGGATTTAGCCTCCGCAGGAACTACGGGGCTCGGGGCTCTCGGCTCTCCGTCCGCAGGGCCTGGAGGCTCCGGGGCGGGGCCGCTGATCTGCTCAGCTCGGGGCAGGAGCGTCCTCGCTGTCCTGGGCCCTCCCGGCCTCTGCCTGTCCCGGGGGAGGCCGGATCCTGGGCTGTGTCCCGGCGCCCTGTGCTCCGGGGCCTGCGCTGGTGGATTCGCGCTCCCGCCCCGCAGCCCCCTCCGCGGAGCCGCCGCCCGAGCCCCTCCGAGCTGCTCCGGGCCCGCCGTGCGCGCTGCAGCCCTTAGGGAGCTCGGAGCACTCTCCTGCGCTCGCAGGTGTCTGTTAGTGTCCCCGGGAGCCCGAGGGCATCCCCGCCCTCCTGGGTCCTGCTCCAACTCCCTGCGAGCCCCTTTCCGCCCGCCCGGGAAGGTTGGTGCAGCTCCTGCTCCTCCGGGACGGGGCTCTCCTGTTCTGGGGACACTCGCCCCGGCCTCAGCCCGGCTCCTCGCGGGCCCCTCCCCCTCGGAGGCCTTTTGTTCCTTTATTTCTTTTTCCCCGTCTTCCTACCTTGATAGAAGCGCGGACTCTTCTCACTGTAGCGTTCCAGGTGGTCTCTTTTTACATCTCAGGCCGAATTCGTAGATTTTCAGGATGATTTGAAGGTTATGTAGGTAATTTGGTGGGGACAGGTGATTTGGGGACCCTGGTCTTCCGCCATCTTGCCCCTCCTCTGGACGTACGATTTCATTCTCACAGATCGATACCTCAGAGTGCAATTGCTGAGTCAGGTGGGAAGGGTATGTTTAACATTTTGAGAAACTGAGAATGTGTTTCCAAAGCTGCTGTACCATTTTATTTTTTCACCAATACTATATGACTTGGTATGGTCAGTCTTTTATTTGTTTTAGGGGTTAAGTATTTTATTGAGGTATTGGCTTGCATTTCCTTAATGACTACCAATGTCAAGAATCTTTTCACGTGCAAATTAGCCATGTGGACAACTTGGGTTTTTTTGTTTTTTTGTTTTTTTTTGGTAAAATATTTATTTGAATTTTTTTGCCCATTTTTTATTTGGTCGTCATATTATTGAATTCTAAGATCTCTTTAATATGTTTCACTTACAAGACTTTCATCACATTTATGATTTGCAAGTCTTCTCTCCCAGTTTGTGATGTGTCTTTTAAATAAAAAGCTTTTTTTTTTTTAAGAATAGCTAACACACAACATTACATTAGTTCCAGGTGTACAACATAGTGATTCAACTTCTCCATATGTTATGCTGCTCTAACTACCAAGTATAACTACTATTGGTCTTTTCATTTTCTTAATGGTATCTTTTTATTTTTATTATTATTATATTTTAATGGTATCTTTTTAAACAAATATTTATTTATTTAAGTAATCTCTGCATCCAACATGGGGCTCAACCTCATGACCCCAAGATCAAGAGTCATTCCCTCTTCCAACTGAGCCAGCCAGGCACCCCTGAATGGTATCTTCTGAAAAATAAAAACTTGATGAAAATCCAATTTAACATTTCTTTTCTTTTATAGATCTTACTTTTGGAATCCTCTCTTATAAATGTTTGCCTAACCCGAGGTCACAAAGATTTTCTTCTATTTTTTTCTAGCAATTTTATAGGCTTAGAATTTATATTTTGGTCTGTGATCTAGTTAAAACTATGCATGGTGTGTACAGTGTAGGGTCAAGGTCTAAGTTCATTTTCTGGTTTGTTTTGTTTTTGCATGTAGATATCAGAATGTTCTATCTAGTACCATTTGTTGAAGAGCTATCCTTTCCCTTAATGAATTGCCTTGGTACCTTTTTAAAACTCACCCTAAATATGAAGGTTTATTTCCGTATTCTCTGCTCTGCTTTATTGATCTATATGTTGTTCCTTACCCCAGTAGCACACTGTCTTGATTACCAGAGCTTTATAGTAAGTCCTCCAATGTGATTCTTGTTCAGTTTTTTTCTTTTTCTTCATTATCCTACATCCCTCAAATTTTCACATACATTTTAGAAATAGCTTGTTAATTTCTACAACACA